CCCCGTGAGGGCGCCAACAACAGGTCTCTCTCACGCCTAAATACACACCCTGTTACCCGTCGGCTCGCCCCCCCCACCCTTTCTTCCATGCCAAGCCCTCCCCTTAGCCTGCCGAAAGGAATCCGCCCATGTTCTTACCCGGTCGTCTCCCGCAAGAAGCTTGTACTGCTCAATCTCGAACCAGAAGAGTAGCTTGTGCGCCTGGGCATGCACGCTCAAGTAATCCAGGAAGTACGAGAACCGGTTCTGGTCTGTTCGCCAGTGAGCCAGAGGAGGGGGGGTGGGGGGGGAGGGGGGGTGAAGCCGATAGTTTTGAAAGGTCTTGCCGAGGGCTTGGGCGTGGCAAGGGAAACCACGCTGTTGTAGCTACATAGGTAGAGGACCATGTCGACGGCGTTTTTGTCGATGTTAGCATCACTGCTGTTTCAATCAACCCTCACGTACAGCAAGCTACCAACGTCACCATGGAATACAGCGCAACAAAATTGGCAAGGTTTATTGCGTGTCTACCGCTGTCCTTCGTCGCAACATCAGGTCCTGCTGCCTACCTTTGTGACCTAATGGCACTTGTACAGGGACCAAGTGCAAGGGCCGACGTCCAGCGTAAACGCGCTGACAAATAAAAAAGGCACTGCTGTCGCAACTTTTTCTATTCTTCCTAATTAGACCCCAACGACTCCATCTCCATCTAAGAAAAGAGTTTAAGATAGATTAGCAATAAATCCATCAGCGTTTTGCAATGTCGCATATGGCACCTCCGTCCATTCGTGGAAAAGTTGCGCTGCCGTCCAAGGGTCTCTTAGTCTATGCGTGCACTAACTAAATATTCGTACGAGTAACTTCGTAAGTCGCGAGGGAAGTGATTGCTGTACCCTTCTCGCGATAAAAATATCTCAGGTAGGAACCGCAGGAGGGGGTCCAACCCCTCCCTCCTATGTGACCCTGGTTGGGTCGTCTAGCTGGTAAAAGCGGAGGATAGGGGCCAGAGGGGCAGACGACAGAGTCCAATGATGGGAGACAAAAATAAATAAATATATAAACAAATAACAGGAAGCCGAACGGCGGTTTCGACCTCAGCAGCAAGCAGGATTACCACATCGCGTGCAGGGCATAGCTTTTGCTTCTGCGCACAGCGGGACATGCACGGCTCAAGCTACGCCGCAGACACGCGCTACTTAATAATACGACCATATAATCCTTGCAATCGTCGATGAGACGTGTCAGGCAAACATAGCAATCGATCGACCCAACCAACAAGCATGAAAGACACGGGCTCACACGACAGCTGAAGGGATTTGGGTGTTTACTACTTTCGGCGAAAAAATTGGTCGCGAGTTCCACAGCAGCATTTTCAACACCTATTGCATGCCGTTTTTACCCTAACCGCTGACAGCAACAACAATTGGTGTGAGGTCAGCTCCAGAGGAGGGGGATCCACGCCACAGCAGTAGTGCTACCAAAGCTCTGCTGGACCAAATGTCCATTCGTTCTTCTGGTTTATCCGCAAAGCAAAGACAGGGAGGATCACCATGCTCTTCAGAGCAGCAGCAGTCGTCGTCGATGCACTCGACAGGGTGTCTACAGCGGCTGCATCAAAGCGCGCTCGTCAAGTTGTGCGCCCGGGGGGAGGGGAAGTCAACAGCAAGAGGTGCCGCACGCTGCTTTGTTGCGGGCAGCAGTTGTCTCTTCCGCGCGTTGCAAGAATTCGCCACATTGCTGCTGCACGGCAACAAGTGTCTCTCCGGAAAACGCAAGCACTTCGCTCAAGTTCGAGCTCTCTCCTATGATCCCCCGACAGGAAACACGACACGCCATGTACTGGCTGCGGGTGTTCCGCTTGCCGCCTATTGCGAAGGCGGTTGTGCTGCTGTATACGTCTGAACTCAGTATGTGTGCTGAATGTTGCTGATTTTTATGTTCCACAAATTCAGGCCTCGGTCTCTCTCGTGTGTCTCTCTACATCTCACCATGCAGGATGCCCTCAAAGTTCCGTGTTCGCATCGCCCGAGCAGCCGTCCGCTCGGGGGGCGAAAACGAACGGGAAGGCATGCTGGCTGCCTCGGCACGCGACGGGCTGCAACTAAAATCGACGAACGGAAGGGCACAATGAGCAAGTCGTCCGCAGCGGGGGCAAAATGCGGCGCAATTTTTTATGTAATAATAGCTTTTTATCGTGGTCGTTGTCCCCGTTTTGGGCAAGCTTTCCTGTTGCTTGATGGAACACCCTGCCAACGACATTTGCCAGATCAGATGGCGGACAACACTGAGCAGCAGTATCCAGCAATCAGTGCTGGCATCCTTTGACCCCTAGCCCACTCTCGTTGGAGGGAGAGAAGACAACCTTTGGTTCTTCAGCGTCCACGCTCATGCTTAGCTGATAGGAGCACAGTCAGGACACAACAGGTAAGACAACCATGTTGCACTTTTTGAAAATCTAGCATCATGGGCTCCTCGTCCCCGCACAGCATCTCGTCTACAGCAGCGTCGCAGGGTAGAGAAAGCGCGCATTGCCAATTACAGGTGGTTCTTCACCAAGTTCCTCGGGTGTGTTGTTCAGTACATGCACCTCCTGTCGATTCACACCGACCCATGCCCCACCCATCGTTTGCACCACCTATGTATGTAGGTGTTCAGTAGATACAGGCTGGACCCTCGTCAAGAGCTGCAGAGCATCGACACCGGGGTAACGCGCGGAGGAGAACCAGCGGCTTCCTCCATGACCGGCACAAGAAGAAGGCACGATACTCCGAGCCCTCTCTTTGAGAGAAGAGGCGGCAGGCATGACACGCCTAGCCCTCCTCGCTCCGGTGACCGAGGGGGACAGCAGCAGCACCAGCGCAAACGACCCAGGTATGCTCCCGCTCCACCGCGCCCTCGTCTCTCGATCTGGGGAAAACACGCGGNTAAATATATAAACAAATAACAGGAAGCCGAACGGCGGTTTCGACCTCAGCAGCAAGCAGGATTACCACATCGCGTGCAGGGCATAGCTTTTGCTTCTGCGCACAGCGGGACATGCACGGCTCAAGCTACGCCGCAGACACGCGCTACTTAATAATACGACCATATAATCCTTGCAATCGTCGATGAGACGTGTCAGGCAAACATAGCAATCGATCGACCCAACCAACAAGCATGAAAGACACGGGCTCACACGACAGCTGAAGGGATTTGGGTGTTTACTACTTTCGGCGAAAAAATTGGTCGCGAGTTCCACAGCAGCATTTTCAACACCTATTGCATGCCGTTTTTACCCTAACCGCTGACAGCAACAACAATTGGTGTGAGGTCAGCTCCAGAGGAGGGGGATCCACGCCACAGCAGTAGTGCTACCAAAGCTCTGCTGGACCAAATGTCCATTCGTTCTTCTGGTTTATCCGCAAAGCAAAGACAGGGAGGATCACCATGCTCTTCAGAGCAGCAGCAGTCGTCGTCGATGCACTCGACAGGGTGTCTACAGCGGCTGCATCAAAGCGCGCTCGTCAAGTTGTGCGCCCGGGGGGAGGGGAAGTCAACAGCAAGAGGTGCCGCACGCTGCTTTGTTGCGGGCAGCAGTTGTCTCTTCCGCGCGTTGCAAGAATTCGCCACATTGCTGCTGCACGGCAACAAGTGTCTCTCCGGAAAACGCAAGCACTTCGCTCAAGTTCGAGCTCTCTCCTATGATCCCCCGACAGGAAACACGACACGCCATGTACTGGCTGCGGGTGTTCCGCTTGCCGCCTATTGCGAAGGCGGTTGTGCTGCTGTATACGTCTGAACTCAGTATGTGTGCTGAATGTTGCTGATTTTTATGTTCCACAAATTCAGGCCTCGGTCTCTCTCGTGTGTCTCTCTACATCTCACCATGCAGGATGCCCTCAAAGTTCCGTGTTCGCATCGCCCGAGCAGCCGTCCGCTCGGGGGGCGAAAACGAACGGGAAGGCATGCTGGCTGCCTCGGCACGCGACGGGCTGCAACTAAAATCGACGAACGGAAGGGCACAATGAGCAAGTCGTCCGCAGCGGGGGCAAAATGCGGCGCAATTTTTTATGTAATAATAGCTTTTTATCGTGGTCGTTGTCCCCGTTTTGGGCAAGCTTTCCTGTTGCTTGATGGAACACCCTGCCAACGACATTTGCCAGATCAGATGGCGGACAACACTGAGCAGCAGTATCCAGCAATCAGTGCTGGCATCCTTTGACCCCTAGCCCACTCTCGTTGGAGGGAGAGAAGACAACCTTTGGTTCTTCAGCGTCCACGCTCATGCTTAGCTGATAGGAGCACAGTCAGGACACAACAGGTAAGACAACCATGTTGCACTTTTTGAAAATCTAGCATCATGGGCTCCTCGTCCCCGCACAGCATCTCGTCTACAGCAGCGTCGCAGGGTAGAGAAAGCGCGCATTGCCAATTACAGGTGGTTCTTCACCAAGTTCCTCGGGTGTGTTGTTCAGTACATGCACCTCCTGTCGATTCACACCGACCCATGCCCCACCCATCGTTTGCACCACCTATGTATGTAGGTGTTCAGTAGATACAGGCTGGACCCTCGTCAAGAGCTGCAGAGCATCGACACCGGGGTAACGCGCGGAGGAGAACCAGCGGCTTCCTCCATGACCGGCACAAGAAGAAGGCACGATACTCCGAGCCCTCTCTTTGAGAGAAGAGGCGGCAGGCATGACACGCCTAGCCCTCCTCGCTCCGGTGACCGAGGGGGACAGCAGCAGCACCAGCGCAAACGACCCAGGTATGCTCCCGCTCCACCGCGCCCTCGTCTCTCGATCTGGGGAAAACACGCGGCTGCGGTACGATCGTCCAGCTGATGCGTTCGCATCCCGTCTGTTTGTTGCATTATCCGCATCTGTTCGCCGGTAGTGAAGGTAGCGAACGGTCACCATCGATGAATGCAAGCATGTGTACCGTGTACGGCACAAGATAACACACACCCTAGACTCCTTGGACTGATATTCGATCTCGATTTATCAACAGTAGAAATAATCACAGCGCCGTAAACGGCGGCGTTGAAGCCGTCTGGGTAAGAGCTCTCCGAAAACGTATCGTTTCGTTATGCATTCTCCTCGTCGAGTTATTGAGCTTTGAAAATCGATCCAGGGGGTGTGTTATCCTGTGTCGTATACGGTACGCCAAATCGCATGTTTGCAGCCTCCAATGTTAGCTCGTCGCATGGTTTCACCACGTGATGCCGACAACATGGCCGCAACCCCCAGCGGGAATCTGATGGGCTTTCTTTGAGTCTTCTTGTGATTCCGACTTTCAGGTCTCGATCTCAGTCGCCTCCACGCTCCGCTGCCGATGATGGTGGTGTCAGTAGAACAAGGCACAGCAGCAGTGACAGCGAGGGTGAGGGCGACGGTGACGGCAAAGACTCCATGCGGCGGCGCAAGAAGCAGAGGAAGGACAAGAAGGCGAGGAAAAGAGAGAAAAAAAAGGCTAAGAAAAAGAGCAGCAGCAGGAGTTACAAGCACCGCAAGAAGGGGGAAAGGAAGAGTAGGTGCGGGGGCTACGACAGCAACAGCAGCAGCGATCAAGGGGGTGAAGAAGGCACCGGAATAGCCAGAGATGCAGCGACCGCAGACGCCGCAAACGCCGCCGCCGCTGCTGGAGGGCCGACGCCTGCAATAGCTCGCTCGCAAATAGAATCGGCATCTCCACCAGCGATCGTGGACGAGCACGCGCCGACCCCGCCGGGAAGCCCCCCCGCCGCCAGCGCAACAAATCCTAGCACGGAGGGACCGTTGGCCGTGAACGGAGGCGGCGGGGCGGACGATACGGAGGCGTGTGTGGACGAAGACGCGCCGACCCCGCCGGCCAGCCCTCACAAGACAGCGGTGGAAGCACCCGCGGCAGGCAAGAACTCCTTCTTCGCTCAGCTGCAGGCTTCGGAGCGAAAGAAAGGGACGGTAGGGACAATACACGCCACGGGAAATCATGGCGGCGGGGGGGGGGAAGGGGGGGCAGGGGCGGGGATACAATCGAGCGACTGGGAGTGCCTCAAGTGCGGCAAGAGCAACTACAAGAACGCGTCGGCTTGTGACAGGTACAGGACGCTCCCCCACCGCTTCAGGATCTCTTCTCTTTCCCCCGAAGCTATTTTGTTACCTCTCTGAAAGGTGTAACCCCAACAGCGACTACATCAGTTCGTGCAGTGCTCATAGCTGAGCACCTGTGTTGCCAAAATGTTTTATTTTCGATTTCTTTGGCCCTCAAGTTGTTAGCTCCCAGGTTGTGCAAATAGAGGTAGGTTCTAAAGGGAGACCGTGCGGTCAATCTTAGCCCCCTGCGTATGTTGCTTTGTGGGTTAGATCGCGCGCGCTGTGGCTCGTTACGCAGTTGCGGGGGGCAGCGGGGGAGCAGGGCACGCTGATGGCGATTCATCATGTCACCGTGCCTTGTTTGGGTCATACATCTTCGTGAGCCGCGACCGAATGATGAGGGAATGAATTTGGGTCTGACACCTGGGCCCACGCTCTTGGTACGCGATCTCTCCAGCTGTGGTAGCTGCTGTTGTTGGCGTGACTTGAAACCATCCACCGCCATTGGTGTTTGGACTACAGCTTACCCCCTGTTCTAGATACACGTACATTTCTCTGTTTTTTTGTGTCTTGTGGATACACTCGAACGAGTGCGGTGTCGGCGTCTTAGAAATGAACGTACTCTCCTCGTGACCTTAACCGTTCAATCTGCCAACTCTTGGCGGTATCCCCCCTATCGTTGGTCAAAATACTATCCACTTTTTGGTAAGAGACGAGGTTGCTTTCTTTTGCAGAAAAGAACAGAGTTGCGTGTGCAATTCCGTAGTGTCGAAGATAACATCGATTTTTTCATCGGTAGGCATGTCTATGTATGCCCTCTCCAGCCTCCCGCCCCACGCCGAGCTTGCCGTCCTCTGAAGGTTCTGCAGCAGCACGTTCGACCAAAACTGACGTGATTCTCCCGCCATCTGCACCCGCCCCCGTGTGTGCCCTCCCGTCCCGGGGTTGACTTCAGGTGTCACGCGCTCAAACGGATGACGCTTTGGCGGGACTAGGCCTCTAGGCTAGGCCTCGTCCTTGTAAGGGATATACCGGCGGCACTGCAAAAAGCGATTTTCTGTAGATACTTGAAGTAAAACAAGCTGCCTCACAGTGTCACCCGGACCTTACGAAATAAGGTGTAGCGTGACCACTCGCGGGTATTGCCCACAAGTCGTTTCAGCTGTGTCCCTTCCTTTTGGGGGTAACAGACGTGCAAGACACTGGAACGTCTGTAAACGCACAACATTGCGCGTGGTGTTTGCTTTGAGACGGAAACGTTGATACCCCGTGTCCTGCGTGCTCGGTGGCAAGTTGCTCTTTCAGCTGCCGTGGGCGACATGGAATTTTTTCGACACTCCGCACGAACAATACGCAAAATCTGTTGTCACACCTGTGTTTGTTCGATTGGATGAACGGCTGTGGTGCAATCTTGTGGCGCGTTCACACAGCGAGCGTGGTACTTCTCCTGAAAACTCAATCCGCAAGCAGTTCTTTCCTAATGTGTCTTTGACATCCGCCCATGAATCGCGAGCGCGGAGGGAGTCATGTTTACACCTGCATCGGATAAGAAATGGAAAACAGCTGCATGTTCATCAAATGCAACCAGAGAAATTCACGTGGTCCGTGTCCGGGGGTCCGTGTTGGTGCAGCACAACTATATTGACCGCAGTGTCAAGAGTTCTGAAACGGGAACCCTGTGGACGGGGCGATCGATTTATGCCTCCGCCATGACCTCTTGTTGCTCAGCACTACAAACAACCGCCAACCGAAGGCAGCTAGTATAGCGGGATCGCCGTTGCTGTGAGATTGCTTGGTGGAACTTGAGCCGCGAGAGCTCTGGCAGGAAGGACTCATTAAGAAAGAGGGGCTTGTCCCGATTAACCACCATACACAGCACGCACGGCAGAGGGGGGACACACACGCCCTCAACGAACCACCCGCAGTATAGACACTATTTGGCCGCCGTTCGTGAGTTTGCGACTGCAGCCTGGTCGCCGCCTTCGGATATTTTCTGGGAGGGCAAAAGAAGCCGCCTCCATTGTCGACATATGAATCAACGTTGCCGACCTCTCTAGCATTTAACTAAAACCCCTGAGATCCCATCTGAACCCCAATCCATCACAGACTCTTCTGAAGGCGGGCCTATCCCTCAATAGCGTGCCCACACGCAGAATACAGCCCTCGAGGCAACAGGTGTATTCAAACGCGCTCTTGACGTCGAAAACTACGAGATTAGGAAATATCGTCAGACGCCCCCCCCCCGCCGTTGCCTCCTTCTTGACTTGCGCTTCTAAGAAGACACGGCTCGAGAAACAACAGCAGTAAATGCGCCGCTTGGCGAACTGCTTTCCGCACACAGCGCTTACGGAGTTGACGAAAGACTAAATCAGCCTAGGCAGGCCGGGCAGTTCCCGAAAGCAAACAACTCGCGCGCGAGCAGTGAAAAAAATAAGCAAGAAGGTCCGCCGTGTGATTAAAAGAAAACCAACGGTAAATTAACAAATCTACTTTCCGTTCTGCTTCTGGATCCACGAAGCAACGTGCAGGCCCCACGAGATCGGCACCAGGAGCGCCCCCGCCACGTAGAGGGGCTGGATGGTGTCCGGGGACACCGTGTGCAAGATGTTGGTCTCGTGGATGCAGTACGTTCCCGCGGCGAACGCCGCGAGGGAGACGACCCCGAGACCCAGAGACGGGGCCTTGGCCAGCGCGGGGCCGAGCACCTCAGACGGCGGCGCCTTGCCCTCCCAGTAGGTGTCCAGCATCACCGGCGTGGCGGACACCTTGGAGGTCGCTGTAATGCATCGAACATGGGGGGGGGGGGG